CGATCAGATTCGACACCCCTTCCGCGCCGCTAAAACAAGCCTCTCTTGCCCTCAAAACCCAGCACTCCCGAAATAAAATCCCTCACGCAAATGCCATGACGTATGTATGCGTACTGTAAATTCTGCTCTTTTTAATCCAGCCCAGCTACAGACGGCTTTTTTTTTTTAAATGTAGAATACAATTACCATTCCTCATTTCTTACATAAGCTTTCACCGTGCCGATTTGCAGCTACTGGAACACGCTAGAAAGCAACGTGGCTATAAAGGGATGTGATCTTGCATCTTGTCATCCCAATTTAAGACACGTCCCTCTAAACTAGGGTCCACATGCATGAGGCTAAATGGGATTCTCTCCCATTTAGCCCATGCTGCGTGCTTCAGTTTGGCCTTAAAACTTTATCAAGTTGCATTCGACACAACCGCTTAACCGTTTACAGCTCCTGGGTATCCCCTTTATTTTTGCTTTTAAGAATCGCTGTGAGGTCGTTATTTCCATTCATCCCCAGAACTGGATTTACAAGACCGGCCCATAGTTAACTCTCTTTAGTGAGTCAGCAGTTGTGTTATAAAACTAATCCTAACAAATCAAGATGCCTGTGAGGTTGGAATGCAATCCTGAATTCCATTCACATTTGGCTCCGTGTCTTCTCGGTTCAAGCTAATCCGTTCATCCGAAAACAAATACCTCTATACTCTCTCAAGATTATTCTGGACCCAAACACGATCGAGTCTCAAAACTGCCCATCCCTAACGAAGCGCCTTCCAAATTTCCTGAGAATTATGAGTGTCGGTTTACATCGGCAAAGCGCCCGACCAGAGAAGAACGTTCTAGAACACGGTTTCTGCGGCACGTTCTCGGCTACCCAAGAGTTTTGGCACCTTCTATTTTTTTTACTGTTAACACTAGACGCCAATAAAAAAACTTGTCCTTCTTAGCTGGTTTGTTATGCTCGATAGCACCCCTCTTACGGGAAGAGAATTATCTGACATAGATGAAAAATTAAAAGTTGAATCGAGGGTTTTTGAAGGCTGTTTTTCAAAGCTATCAACAGCCGGAATATATAGTACTTGCTTTTTAATCTTGACGGAGTTTCATGATTATATGAATACAGCCATATGCAACTCCTCTCTTCATCCTAAATATGTTCATCGGCTTTTATGACTACATTATATGAATACAGCCACATGCAACTCCTCTCTTCATCCTAAATATGTTCATCGGCTTTTATGACTACATGTTTTCTTATCTTCGGTCGGATACGCAGAAACCTAAAATTAATTCCAATTCCTTTTAAGGAGAATGAGAGGACGGCAAAACCCAGTGCTAATATTTAGAGACAGGTTTAATGCGTGATTTCTCCGCTTTGGAAAAAAATAACAAATCAATGTATTATCTCTATTGAAAAAAAAAAATACAGGAAAAACATCTTTCTGACCTTTTTTTAAAAAAAAATCAATCGGCTGCTTCTCCAATTTTTTTCACTATTCCTTTTTTAATGATACGCAATTACCTGCTATCACTTTTAGGGAGCCAAATATCTAAGGATCCTTAAAAGTAGCTATTTATCGAAGGTGAATGATGTAGTGTAAGTGTAGAGCACGGGTATAAATATAGAAAGTCTGTGTCATAATTATAGGCAAAGAGGGAGTCGAACATTTAATAACGTATTTTACTTTCTGCATTCCCTCAACCCTTCTGTTTATATATAAACCCGGAAGACATATTCTGTCTGGCTTGCCACACTAACAGACCAAGTCTTCAGGCCATCACAGCCAAGAACTCTCACGAAGAAAAGCTGAACCTATTAATTTTGCAAATGGTCAAATGCTACGGGAGCTGCAAAACTGCACAGGAAACCCAAATCCACACGAGAAACAAGTTTAAGCATACGCAAACCTTGAAAAAGAACCCAAGAACCAATTTGTTTACGCTGGCCTTTAAATCAGTCACTCTGGTTACTTTAGTCAGTTACACTGACCCATTATATTGATGTTGCTATATAGGTAGTCCTCGACTTACAACCGTTCGCTTAGTGACTGCCCGAAGTTGCAACGGCACTAAAAAAAAAGTGACTTGTGACTGTTTTTCACTTTTACGACCGTTGCCACCTCCCCACCCCCCCCCCCCCCCCGGCAACACGATTAAAATTCAAACACTTAGCAACTGGCCTGTATTTATGACAGCCGCATTTTCCCGGGGTCACGTGATCTCCCCTTTTGCAACTCTTCGGACAAGCCAAGTCAACGAAGAAGCCAGATTCGCTCAACAACCGTGTTATTCACTTAACAACAGCAGCGGTTCACTTAACAACGGCGGCAAGAAATATTGCAAAACGAGGCAACGCTCGCTTAACGACCTTGGTTTTAGCCATGGAAATTCTGGGCTCCATCGCAGTTGTTTCCATTATTATTTTGGAACTCCCGTTGCCCTGTTATTAATTATTGCTTCTGTTAACCCCTGAAGGAGGAGGCAGGTGGACTTCAAATCTGATCATAAATGAAAATAACATCTCCAGTTCCGCTCCCCCATATCTTTCCTCCCTTCTCCATCTGCAGTTAACTAATTCCTTCCCTTTGCAACTCAAATCCGTCTTCCTGAAACTCAGACTGGACAGGCAGAAATGGAAATCCTTTCTTATGTCAGAAGAAATCTAACAGGGGGGAAAACCTCAGATCGGCTCTGCCAAAGGGAGACACTCAAACCTCATCATCATCATCATCGAAGCCCCTAAACAGCTAGCCAGGGCAGCCATTGGCAGGCGGGGGGGGGGAGTCACTCACATCTGGCCCTCAACTTTTCCTTCCCCCCCCCTTCTCAAGCAACACTGCAGAGCCACCTAAAACCAGCTGACAGCCCTGTCTCAACGCAGCAGCTGACCTGGACACTTTTAACACTTCGCACATCCAGCCGCCCACGCACCAAAAAAAAAAAAAAAAAATTGGGGGGGGGGGGGGATAAAGGCAGTTCTCTTTTGCATTTCAGAGCTGGGAAGGGGATTTCAGCAAGAGACACCCCCCCCCCCACAATCCTCTCCCCAACGACCTGCCAGAGCCGGAGGGAAGCTGCTGTCCCTGCTGGGGCAAAGGAATGAAAATTGCACCTGCCTTTATAAAGCTCTTTTCCTGGCTGGCAAGAAGCCAAAATGAATCAGCCTTCCTCCTGCCCTTTTTCTTAAGCCGCCATCACCTCCAGCTGGATCTGCTCTTCACCTCCACTGGAGCAGGAGTAGGAGGAGGAGGAGGAGGAAGAAGTCTTGGGGGGGGAGTTGAAGATGGAGAAGAACATTCTGGCAACTTTCTTCTTTAATCTAAGACACATTATTCCCATTCAGTCCTTCCAAGAGCGCCTCTGCTAAGGAACTTGCTTAGCCTCCCGACTTCCCCCCCCCCCGACTTTCTCCCCATTTCCTAACTTAGGACGTTCACAAAAAAAAACTCCACTCTCCTTAAACATTCCAGGTCCAACATTGGCCAGTCCTTGGCCTACCTCGCAGGGTCGTCGTTTGCAGCCAGCCAGCCAAAAGGTCATTTGCGGCAAATGTGTCCCCCACCCCCAACGCTAAGTCTCTTATGTAAAAAAAAAAAAAAAAAAAAACCGGTGATTATGAAAGGGACCGACTTCCCCCCCCAACCCCTAAAAAGGGAAGGAATCGGGTCAGCCAAACTGCTTCTTCACTTCTTTCTTTTCCCCCCACCCTCTCCCGGTTGCTCTGACCACTAGGCGTCACATCCTGAAACTTTGCCGTGGGGGGATCCCCACCCCCACCCCAATCTCCCACCCACCCACCCACCTACCTACCTACCTACCTTCCAAACCCCGAAGACTAAAAAGTAGCTTTACCTCCTCCGGCCGCTCAGATCCTTTTTGGTACCCAAAGCAAAACCAAAAAAAAAACCAAAATCCTCCGTCCGTGGGAAAAAAAAAAAAATCGGAAAAGGAGAATATATATATATATATATATATATATATATATATAAACAGGCGTCATCATGTCCTTGGAAGGCATCCAAACCGGAGGCCGGATCTCCCGAGGCTCTCGGGGCACCTGAAGCGGACCGTTCCCGGACTCCGGCGAGGAAGACGCTCCGGTGATGATGAAGAGGAGGAGGAGGAGGAGGAAGAAGAAGAGAAGAAGGAAGAAGAAGCGGAGCGGCTCCATCTCGCCCCCTCCCCATTCCGATCCTAAGTGTCCCCCATAGATGTCAGATCCCGGACCGGCTGCGGCATCTGGGCTCCGGGGCGAAGAGAAGCGGAGCAAAAGACCCCCCGGAGCAAGCAGGGTCTCCAGCCGGGCGGGTGTTATTCCTCCGGGGCTTCGGGTGGGAGGTGAGATCGGAGGCTCTGCGAGTGGGTTTTGGGTGGGTGGTTGGTTTTTTTTTTTTTGTTTTTTTTTTTGTGCTCCTCGCCCGCTGCCCCTCCTCCTCCTCCTCCTCCTCCTCCTCCTCTTCCACGTCTGTTTACCTCGAGTTTGAATTTTATCTGCGCAACATTAGCTGGAATGCGGACATCAGAGGCGGGGTGGAAGCAGGCGACGCGCACGCAGCCCGGAGGGAACCCGCGGGGAAGCTTCCCGGCCGAGACACGCGGGGCAGCGGGGCGGCAGCAGCAGCAGCAGCCGCCGGTGCTGCTCCTCCGCCACCTCGATCGCTCGGGCAAAAAGAGGCGCTCAAGGCGAGTGTCTCCCCCACCCCCACTTTCCCGAGTGGGGGTGCTAAGAGACACCCCCCCACACCCACTCAGATCCCCGCTAAGGAGAGATTTTTTCCCCCCCCACCCCCGCCAAAGCCACTCGGGACTCTCAAAACCGATCCCGTTAAAAAAAAGAAAGATTTATTTCTTTATAAAGAAATAGAGAGAAATCGAGAGTTTTTTTCATTCAGGGGGGGGGGGTTCAAAGGAGAGATCGCGCCCCTCCCCCACCCCACCCACCCACCCACTCAAAAGCATCTCAGCATCTTTCTCCTCCTCCTCCTCCTTCCCATTAGAATCACAACTTACCTCCGTCTGGGCCACCCCACGACGCGCGTGCTTTTCCTTCCCGGCGTGGGAATGCGGGGAAAAAATAAAATAAAATAAAATAAAAGTGGCCCAACGTCCCCGCGTGTCCAGAAATCGCAAAAAAAAAAAAAACAAACAAAAAAAACCCCCCCCCTCTTCTTTCTTTTTTTCCCCCCCCCCCCCCCCCCCCCGGGGGCATCGTTTTCCCGGGGCCCCCCCCCCCGCGAAATCTTCTCTGCTGCTTTCTGTCCTTCTCCTCTTCCCCCCCCCCCAGAAAAGCATCCAAAGAAACTCGGAGGGCGACGTTGGGGGATGAGTGGGTGGTGGAGGGGAGAGGAAAGAGAAAAAAAAAAACTCGGGTGGAAGGAAACAGGTGCAATTCCCACGCAGGCTGCTTTGCGCTGGAGAGGAGAGATCGCAGGGAAAGTTGGGGAGGGGGGGTCTTCTCCTGCAAAAAAAAAAAAAAAAAAAAACCTTCCCTTTTGCTGCCGCCGCCGCCGCTCCTGCGCAAGTTGCCCCGGCCAAGGAAGCGAAAGAAACGCAGCAGTCCCGGAAAGTTCCTGCGCGCTGCCCGCCCGCGCACCGCCAATGCTCCTCGCTACAATGTTGTTTCATTATATCGTGGCCATCATGTGACGCCCGGAGGCCTCGCTATGGAAACTTCGGGGACTCCCACGTGACTCCGCAGCGGCGGCGGCGGCGGCGGCGGAGAAGCGAAAGAGAAGCCGAGAGGAGACGCGGATGCAGGAGATCCGCCGCCGCCGCCGCGGGACCCTCCGCCTCTGAACGGGATACCCCCCGCCCCTTCCCCTCCTATATGGTTGCAAGAAAACCCCGTTTCCCCAACCCTGGAGATTTTATCATGGGTTTCCCTTCATTTAATCTTTCATGTCGTATATTGAGTATTCCTTCCTTTCTCCCTCTCTCTCTCTCTCTCTCTCTCTCTCTCTCTCTCCCTCTCTCTCTATCTATCTATCTATCTATATGTAATTTTGCCGATGTTTCATTGAAATTGCCCCATTGGCGCCTGTATGGGTCATGTGTTTGATTAGGGTTGTTAGGTTATGTCAGCGATGGCATGACCTCCGAAGATGCCATTATAGGCTAAATAAATAAATAAACTCTCTTTTCCAAGCTGGTGCAAGGAGTCACTGCCTGGGCCGTGTGTTCCTGCAGTTGCCCCGGATGGATAGATAGATTAGATAGATAGATAGATAGATAGATAGATAGATAGATAGATAGATGATAGAAAAGAGAGACAGAGAGAGAGAGGATAGTAGATAGATAGATGACAGATAGATAGAGAGAGAGAGAGGAGAGAGAGAAAGAGGAGAGAGAGAGATGATATAGAGAGATAGATGTTAGAGAGATGAGATAGATAGATAATGATTGATAGAGAGAGATGATAATGATTGATAGAGAGATGAGAGATGAAAGAGAAATAGATGAGAGAGATGAGAGAGAGAGATGATAGATAGATGATAAAGAGAGAGATGATAGAAATAGATAGATAGAGATTGATAGATGAGAGAGATTGATAGATGAGAGAGATGAGAGAGAAATAGATTAGAGATAGAGAGATATGAGATGATAATGATTGATAAGAGATTATGAGAGATGATAGATCATAGATATAGATAGATGAGAGATGATATAGATAGATAGTTGAGAGAGATGAGAGATGATTGAGAGAGAGATGAGAGAAAAATAGATACATATAAGAGATAGATGAGAGAGAGATGAGAGAGATGATAAATAGATAGATATAAGAGAGGAGAGAGAGATGATAGATATAATGATTGATAGAGATGAGATTGATAGAGATGAGATATATATATAAATAGATGATAGAGATGAGATGATTGATAGATGAGAGAGAGAGAGATTGATAGATGAGAGAGAGAAATAGATTAGAGATAGAGAGATGAGAGATGAGAGATGATAATGATTGATAGAGATTATGAGAGTTGATAGATCATAGATATATAGATATAGATATAGATAGATGAGAGATGATATAAATAGTTGAGAGAGATGAGAGATGATTGAGATATGAGAGAGAAATAGATATAAGATAGATATGAGAGAGATGAGAGAGAAATAGATATAAGAGAGATGAGAGAGAGATGATAGATATAATGATTGATAGATGATAGAGAAAGAGATAGAGATAAATAGAAGAGAGATGAGAGAGAGATGAGATGATTGATAGATGATAGAGAGATAAGAGATAGATGATAGAGAGAGAGAGAGATGATAGAGATAGATAGAGATAGATGATAGATAGATGATAGATGATTGAGAGAGAGATGATAGAGATAGATGATTGATAGAGATAGAGAGATAGAGATAGATAGATAGATAGATAGATAGATAGATAGATAGATAGATAGAAAAAGTCCAGGGGGGCGTTGTTGTGGGGGGTTGATAGAAGGAAATGTAACTGCAACCCCAGATTTATAAAAAGCTCCGGGGGGGGGGATTGCTGTGGGGGTGGGGAATAGAGAGAAGGAAATGTGACTGCAAGGCCAGATTTATAAAAAGTCCAAGGGATGGGGGAGAGATTGTTCCGGGGGGGGTTGGGGGTTGGGAATAGAGAGAAGGAAATGTGACTGCACCATATCTGGTGAACAAGGCCAGAGCATTGCCAGGGCTCGGAGGGGTGGGGGCGAAGGGGCGGAGGCTCCTCCAGCGAAGATTTGGCGAGTTGAGGATCCAGAAGTAGGTCGGTCCGAGTTTCTTCTTTGCTGGCGCAACCCGGATCACCGAAGAGACAATAAGAGGGAAGGGGGGGAGGGCATTGCAAACAGGGAGGGGGAGACAACTCCTCCGGACACGAAGCCAAGCGGCTGGGCTAAGACTCAAAAGTGCCAGCCTCGCAGCTCTGTCTCTGGGCTGGCTGGCGAGGAGATGCCAGCTCCTCTGGGAGGGAAGAGGAAGGGAGTTGGATGGGTGGAGGAAGAACGGTTTAGCTTTTCTGCAGCTTCGATACTAGGTCTTTGGGGGGGGGGCTGATAATAACGAGGGAAAAGTTTGGGTCAGGATGCTGAATTTGTGCGAACTGTCAAATTGGCAGAATGGCTCTTCCCTGCCCATAAACTCGTTTTAAGGTGCAAGACTTAAAACAGAGGTCTTCAAACTTGGCAGCTTTAAGACTTGTGGACTTCAACTCCCAGAATTCTCCAGCCAGAATTCTGGGAGTTGAAGTCCGCAAGTCTTAAAGCTGCCAAGTTTGAAGACCTCTGACTTAAAACATAGAATCCCAGGGCTGGAAGGGACTTCAAGAGGTCTTCTAGTCCAACCCCCTGCTCAAGGCAGAATACCTATAATGAAGGATTATAAATTGGACAAGCAAATAACGGAAGATTTCAATTTAGCATAAATGTTTGTACTATTATGATTAGAATTATATCAGCTTGTTAAAAGTAAGAAATAGGATTCGTAATATTCTATTCGTATTAAAAGGTATGGCACTTAGAATAGGGTCATTGGCATAGGAACGACACACTGAAATATTGAATGATTAAATAAGGAAAGATTATAATTTAATAAAAGTATGTGTATTATTATAAGGATTATATAAGCTTGTTAAATTTATTTATTTATTTATTTATTTATTTATTTATTTATTTATTTATTTTTCTATGCCGCCCTTCTCCGGAGACTCAGGGCGGCTTACAATGCGTTAAGCAATGAATTAAGCTAATTAATTAATTAATTAATTAAGTTAAGCAATGAAACAGATATGATTAAATACTATTTTATTTGTATTAAAATGTATGACACTCGGGTGCCACGCTGTTTGCGCATTGATATGTTTGTAAAAATGTAAAAAATGTTTTTTTTTAAAAAAAAAAAGGCAGAATACCTTTTACCATCTCAATCAAAGGGTTGCCCAGTCTAGTTTTTGAAAACCTCCAGTGATCACTTACAAATGCTGGAGGCAAAAGCCGTTCTACTGATTAATTGTTCGCCCTGACAGGAAATTTCTCCTTTATTTCTCCACTGGATCTCTCTGTTGTGGTCCGCCAGCAGCCTGCGGAGCTGGCAGTAGAGTCACACAGTGAGGAGGCTGGGGGGAACATAGGCCAGTCCTGGAGTCTGGGGAGGGCTCGGACAAGGGCTCTGCGTCGGAGGCAGAGATGGAGCCAGGGCCATCTGGGAGTTATATGCAGACTCCGGAGTCTCCAGAGTCGGACATCAGAGAGGCAGAGGAACAGGGGGAGCCTATTCCTAGTGAATGCATGCACAGAGCTGCCAGAAGGCAAGAACAGTTAAAACAAAAAGGACGACTCAGGAGTAAAGCTTGGAGATGATTGGCCTCTCCCATAAGACATAAAAGCAAAGGCACTGGGGCCTTTGCAGGAAGCAACATTGTGGATGGTGTCAGTTTGTACTTTGAAGCTCCGTTTTTGACTCTGTTTCCGTGTGGCCTCGCCAAGATAATTGCCAATTAGGTCTTTGGCAGCGTGTCAAAGAAGACAAAGGTGGGTGTTTACCAGCCTTATCCGAAGGACTGTGGCAGACTTCTGTTGGTCTATTTATAAACTCTGGGTGATTCAGCAAGTGCTGTGAATGAAAGGAATTCACAGCCGTTCAAATTTTTAAAAGGGGTTTTGGGGACTAATTGTGTGCTTTTTACTATATGAGGAAGCCTAGGTCAGAGCAATCTCTTTCATGAGCTTCTACCTGTTACTTCTTCTCCAGCCCTCAGGTGCTTTGGAGAGCAGGTTGACCCCTCTTCTCTGTGACAGCCCCCTCAAATAAAGTAAAAAAGAAAGAAGACCCCTCTGAGGAAAGAGGAAGCACTTAAGAATTTATGATACAGGCCACAAGGGTTTGGATCTCTACCGGATCACTTTAATTGGCGAGGTCAAAATGCCAGACAAAGGGATGATCCAGGCAACTTTAAAAGTTTGTAGGCTGGAGATTTAGACAGAAACCCTTAAGGGTACAGTAAATGGGAATTACAAAATAGATATAAGAGCTGGCTTCCAAAAAAAAAAAATTCCTGAACTTAAGGAAACATAACAAAGACAAATAATAGAATAGAATAGAATAGAATAGAATAGAATAGAATAGAATAGAATAGAATAGAATAGAATAATGTAATGTAATGTAATGTAATGTAATGT